AGCTGATGTGATACCTAAAGTTAAAATTAGCAGAACATCAAATGGATTCTTTCTAAGCCGTTACATTATGTGGACAAAATTGTAGAAAAGTTCAGCAAGAATAGTACGGCATGGCTATAACACCTATATGTACGAGTCAGTATCTACCTAAAAACAAAGGCGAGAGTGTCTCTCAAGTAGAATACTCTAAAATTATTGAAAGTCTAATGTATTTGATGAGAACCAGATATAGTATACACAATTAGTAAACTGAGTAGATAAATGAGTAATTTAGGAGCTGACAACTGGAAACGAATAGTAAGAGTTTTAAGATATTGAAGATATACTCGTAATTTTGGACTACACTATACCAATTATTCAGCGGTTATTGAAGGATTTAGTTATGCAAATTGGATATCTGATATAAAAGACTTCAAATCCACTAGTGGATTTGTGTTTACATTGGAAAGTGCTGCTATATCCTGAAAATTGTCTAAACAAACAATTATAGCTAGATCTATCATGGAATCTGAGTTTATAGCTTTAGATAAATGTGGTGAAGAGATTGATTAGTTACGTAATTTCTTAGAGGATATTCTGATATGATCGAAACATGTGTCAGCAATTTGCATACATTGTGATAATCATTCAGCAATTGGAAGGCACAAAGTAACATGTACAATGATAAGTCTAGACATATATGTCGTAGACACAATACCATAAGACAACTATTCTCAACTGAAGTTATCTCTATTGACTATGTAAGGTCAAACGATAACTTTACGGATTCGCTAACCAAAGGGTTAAATAGAACGTTAGTTGGAAAATTATCGAAATGAATGTAACTTAAACTCTTGAACAAATAAGTTAATGTAAAGAAAATTCAATCTAATTAACTGGAAATCCCATGAGCTAGATTCAAAACAACCTAATTGTAAAGACTTAATTGAATCACTGTGGGGGATGTTACCTCATGTCCATTCCTTTGATGCTATAGTGATGCCCATAAGGATGAATGATAAGCAATAAACTTTTAATGATTCTTATGTGTCGAAAATAGAGTGAAGTAATGCAGGTTACTTGCAATAAGAAATCACATATGTGAGAGAGAAGTTGGCACCCCTTTAAGAGAATTGTGTGGGGGCTCAATTCTTAAGAACTATCGCAGAACCAGACATAAGTTCATGGCCAAAAATGAACATAACAATGATAATTGAATTTTGTTAGGAAGAATCCTGTGTGAAATATATCATCTTTTACATAAAATGCAGAACAGTTCAAGGACATCATCTTTACTTGTCAGCTCGTAAAGTAAATATACTTTCACAATGGAATGTTCAAAGGGTAATACCTAACTATCATATGTGGGTTACAACCGTTAACCTATATCACCAATTTTTTATGTCTTCCATTTCTATGTCTCTCTCAATTTTCATTCATGTGAGAGTTTGTAGGAAAAAAATAAATAACTTGAAGGGATGACTTTGGCATAAATTTTAAGTGGGACTCGTTTGTTTATTTTAGAAGATCAAGATTGATTTGTATTCTTTTCCGTGAGAATATCGAAACCATATATTTACTTGCCAAAAATGATGCTCGGGTGAATGAAAAGTTGGAGCTCAAAGTGATGTATTGAAAAATGTTTTGTATTGGAAGGAAAATAATTTAAAGTTATTTGATATAGGAAAATAGATAAAGGTAATGACCATTTTAAATATGATTACACTTTAAAAGGGTGTATCATAAAGACTTTCTCCATGCGCGCGTTGGGGGGTGCAAATCACGGACCAAAATAGACTTTAAACCTTGAACTTGTATGCGAGCGCGATCTAGGTACATGAATGGACCAAAAATTGGCCCTTAAGAAGGTCGATGTTTTGCCTTTATTTTATTATTTTTCCAAACAAAAAATCTTTCAAATTCTTTTAACTATTGAAACTCATGTGATTATGTCGTGCTAATGCCTAATGGAGAGATTAACATTCGGGTTAATGGTGGTTACTGACATAACTTCTAGCCTGTTAATTCTCTATTACAACATATTATTTTGAAAACTTCATCCCTTACAAACACGAAGAAAATTTATCTTCTCTGTATAAAATTTTATCTCTTGTCTGCATACATAATTTTCACCTTCTATCAAGGTCTTGGTGGTGATAGTGTTCAGATACTAAGTCAATTCGAAGGAGAAAGTTCATTCGGTCTTTTGTTATTTCCTACAATTTTAGATTACTTGTACTATTTTTTTAATGTAATTAATAAAATTATTTAATCCATAATATTTTGGCTAACAGATAATGAGTGCAGCAAAACATGTAAGTGAACCTTCGACAGCCCTAAGCTCCACTGGTGAGGAAACCTCCGCTATTGACACCAGAGTTGGTCCGAACCCGAATTCCATGCCTAGATCCTCCAAGAGACCTAAATCCAACTCCCAAATCGGGTGGTCGGGAAAATGAGCTTCACGAGACTCGAACAGATCGATAATAAAATTCATCTACTCCTCACCATCATCATCTTCCCCTCTACATAAAAAGCAATTCAGGTCCGCTAAGGAATTTGCATAACCCAATTTTCGAGTTCTATATTTAAATCAAAACTGAAATTGAAGATATTGTCGTAATCATCAGTTATAAGAAAGAGGGGTTTGCATTATTAGGAGGGGATAATGAATCCAAATTTATGACAAAAATGGATTGTGCTCAAAGATTTCTTCATCTTCTCCACGGACCCACCCCAGTGGTGGGGTTGAAAATTGTGATTTTGGTTAGTTGTTGCTGATGTGGTTTAATTATTTTAATGTAAGAATATTAATATTTAATTTTGCTTTTTAAATTTAATCAAAATATGGTCAAATTGCCTTTTTTTTTGGTCAACTAATGGATGGATGGATGGATGGATTCCATCCACGTGTCCTTCATCTGCAATAGCAAGTAAAGGTTTGGGAGTACCTCAGCTGTCAAAATGAAAGGTTTGGGTAATCTCTACTAAGTTTTGAAAGGTTAGGGACCCAAAATGTTATTCTCCCTTTCAGATGAGGAAAAAATACTTGGTTGCATTTTACATTTATTATTTTTAACAAATATAATGGGTACAGTACATAAGTTGTTTTTTGTCATCAAAATGTACTTTTCAGATAGAAACCATTATCAAAGACTATATGTACTAATTAATTGAAGCTTGATAATAAGAGTGTATATGAAATTAGGAATATATGTGACTAATTAAAACTATGATATGAATATAATTAACATTTGAAAAGATAGTCATAAACCATTATTGTTGGTATTTAAGTTTTGGAAAATGCCACTTGTACACTCATTTTTTGACATGATTGTTGACATTGTCAGTATTGGCAAGTGTTGATTGAGCGAAAAAACTATGTGTCCGCTTGATTGCAAGAATAATATTTGGGTGAAAAGAAAATAAACTTCAGGGAATTGAATTGTCTAGAACTTATTTTACTAAGAATTGTCAATTAATTGTGTTTGATTGATATAATTTTCCACTTAAAAAATGTTGAAATTTAAAATTGAATAGTGTAAAGAAAAATAATGTACTTTGAGATAAGAACTGATTTTTGGGAATAGAAAATGTAAAAACTGAATAGTGTAAAGAAATATTATAATTTAAAAATTGAATAGAGTAAATAATGTTTTCTCCCTTGCCAAGAAAAGAAAAAAAACTAGCTCAACCATGGGAATTTCAATTCCTCAATTTTGTGGAATTATGGGTCACGTGAGGCCAAGTGAAAAAAGGAATTGCTAAGAAAATATTTCCTATCAAACAAGTTAAAAAGTGGAAAATGTGGGATAATTTCCATCTTCCATGAAAATTTTGGCCTATCGAACAGGGCCCATGTAAAAAATTTTAACTATTCAATAATGTGTTGTCACGTGATAAAATGTGAAAGAAATTCTTGTAGCATTATGATTGGTAAGTTTTCCCCTAAAGTAATGGAACAAATGAGGCACACGAGTATTTTACGTCATATTGAGCTTTTTCCATCAGTTAATAATTACATTAAAGCAAAAATGATAGGTTGATGACTTAAGTGCCAAGCCAAATAGAATTGGGACCCAATTGCTATTAAAGACATATTTGGGATGAATTAGCTAAGAAGTATGCTTTATATGTATGGTTTATTTTGATTTGTTTTGAACTTGATGGATCCACATGAAAAATAACACATTTGGTCCTTATTTTAAAGCATAAACTACCTCTAACATAATCTAAATCTATCAATTAGGGACTAATACTGCAACATTAATAACAATATCATTCAGGATCAATGGACAATGAGATGAAACGAAGCTCTATTTTTAACGTAACGGAATGAAACTTTTATTTGCTGTAGCATCTCTAATGTGACTATATATATATATAAACTGTGACAATATGAAAATAAGAACGATCTGAACATTTTGAAGCAACTGTGTGTCTACATACATACATACATACATACATACATACATACATGTTTTCCTCTCTCATTATAAAAAAAAGAAATTATATTGGCTGACAAAACATATACGATAGCTTTTCCTACAAAAAAACATCATATCTGAGAACATTACAACAGAGAGATTGCTCCTAACACTGTCAACAATGAAACGCAGTAGCGGAAAGCCACCAATACAAACGAATGTGTACCAAACACACTCTTATACATTCTTTCAAAAGAATGTCCGCAGAAGCAGATAACAAATATCTGTCCCAACAAATAACAGAAGCCACATCCCCGGTATGCCCATGTAATGTCTGCATACACTGCAACATTTGGAGGTCCCAAACCTGGAAAGAGCATATATATGAGCAAAATTATTCAGTGAGTTCAAAACATTGGACCATATAAAGAGAAGGAATCAAACAAATGGAGGAAGAAGTATAGAAACAAAAAGTTGTAGGGACTACAACTCTAACAACAGGTGCTCGAAATATAACTTGGAGAGAAGACAACTTAAAAGACTATACAGATCAAAACAATGGTCCTAATAATGTCAACATGACTGATAATTGCACCTATAAAGGACAACTGTTTACCATTTCATATATATGGCATGGGTCAATAAGCCAACATGGATAAATTGGCAACCTACATAAACGATTGATCTCTACCATCTACTGATATGGAGATATTATACACACATTCAAATGTAAGATGTTGTGGAAAATAAGTCTCCTGGCAGAGAGCATACCCATATTGTATTGTTGCTCGAACCCGAATAAAGCCTAGTATTATCTCCCACAAGAAGTGAACACACAGCACCATTGTGTCCCTTCATCGTTGCAGCCAGTTCAGGAATATTGGCTTCAACACCCCATTTCCACGCTAATATGGCACCTTCCTGGAGCCAAAAGATACATTAAAATGAGAAACCAGAATGTGGTAAATAGTCAACGACAAGAACGGTGAATAACCTTACCCCCAAATCTTCCTTAGCTTAAACCTAAACAACTACCCTGCACTAACTAATGCGCTCGCAATACTATAGAGATCCAAACTCACAAACTTAAAAATAGCAGAACTCTGAAGAGCTCCAAAAATAATTACCACTGTTCCAGCAAAAAGCCTATCATTGTCCACAACCATAAAATCAACTTGCCCAACATCCCAAAATGACCAAAAAAATCCACAAGTAGAAAGAAACCAAGTTCAAGATGGACAAAAAGACGGAGCAAAGTCAATTCTTTCATGGTAACACGTAACCAACTATGTGAAGAACATTAGTTACCTTAATAGCATTTGGCAATCCAGCAAACAGCCATGGACCTTCACTAATCAAGCACCCAACTTCACCATCGAGATCAACAGCACTAGCACACTGAGGTTGAATAATCATATCATTGATCACACATCTGATTTACCCAATGTGAAATTTTAACCGATAGATAAGTAAAATTATACACACCTGACCACTGTTGCAGTCCCAAATGCGAATAGTTCTATCTTTGCTGACAGAATATAGCTTCTCAGAACCAGATGGGAGAGCAATTCCAGTAATGTTCTGTACAAAATTTCATTAGAAATAAATATTGTTAGTATTGTATGCAATAGTTTGTTTAACCATTTAATAAAAACTGTATAAAGGAAGAGCAGTTCCAACAGGAGCGTAAGATCATAGAGAAATTAATAACAGATTAAACAAGATTCGAAAATAATAAAAAAGGACTGTTATCAGATGAGCAACCACCTTAGTGTGCCCCTCTAACTTCGTTAATATTGTAAATCCAGATTCACAGAACCAAGAGTATATGTCCTTGCACTTATCGCCATGGACACAAT